AGAGCTGCTGTCAGCCAGTGTCGACAGTATGGAGCAGCGGCCTGACTTGGTAGACGGCAGCTCCCTGTATTTGCAGGCAAGTCAGATGAACGAGGGGACTTTGAGCCCTGCTGGTTGAATGACGGGTGGATTTCCAGCGCTGCTTGCAGGTCTGCCCAGACAGCCCCTCTGCTGAGTAAAAAGCAAAATGGATACAGCTGCTCTTCTTAAAAGAGAGCCAATCCATTGGCTCCACCTAGCTCCTATCGCCTGCACTGACTGGCAACAGTTCTCCTGGGTTTCATGCAGGGAGCCCTACCTGGAGATGCCTGCGTGGTTGAACCTAGGACCTTCCACAGGTAGCTCTGCCGTTGAGCTGCAGCCCTTCTGCACCGGGCTAGGGCCCTGTGCTACAACTCCCGTGACGGCAAGGCACGCTGGCTGGCGGCTGAAATCCGGCAGCATCCGGCGGCGCTTGCCCTTTGAAGATTTCTTGGGGTGACAAGGGAAGGAGGGAAAGAGGTCGCTGCTGGGCGGAGGGTCCCGGAGAGACTGGTGTACGCAAAGTGGGACGGGAGCCAGCGAAGCCACGGCGGATGACGTCCCATCGCAGCGCTTAGAATAGAAAGCATTACTGGGTTAGAAGGTGACCTTGCCTCTCAGTCGCGCAGGGAAGGCTGCTTCTGGAGCTTTTCCAGGGCTAAAGTAGTAAAGCTGTTTCTGATAGCATGAAAGGAGGAGGAGGAGGAGGGGGTCCCTGGCTCAGGTGACGGAGGAGGCAAGGAGCCTTTTAAGCCGCAGGAGGGAGAGGGACCCGGTAGATCCCCGCCGGGCATCTGGGCTGACCCAGCCGCTAAAGTAAGGTGACCAGACGTCCCCATTTCCCGGGGAAGAGTCCCCAGATTTATAAATCAGTCCCCTGACAAGATCCATCCATTCCGACTTCCCCGGATTCTTTGGGAAAAAATCTGGTAACCTTACGCTAAAGGCGTTTCCTCGAATGGGGTTGTTCTGGGTTCTTGCCCAGCCAAGCTGCCTGCAGTGCCAAAAAGAGGGCTCAGATTTGCACAGAATTGGCCCATGATGCTCTAAATCAGCCTTTCTCAACCTGTGGGTCCCCAGATGTTGTTGAACTACAACTCCCAGCACCCCTAGCTAGCAAGGCCAGAGCTCAGGGATGATGGGAGTTGTAGTCCAACAACATCCGGGGACCCACAGGTTGAGAACCGCTGCTCTAGAGATATATATCAAGGCATGAAGGAAGCTTCTTCAGCTTGAGGGCCTCATTTCTTTCTGCGTAGGCTTCTGGGGGCCAGTGGTTGGTCACGGTCCCCGCCTGAACAAGCCGCCCTGCTGGCAAGTCATCTCCTCTCAGTCTCCTCTTTCCCTGGCTAAACGTACTCAATTCCCTCGACCATTCCTCATCAGGCTTGGTTTCCCCACCCTCGATCATCTTGGTCTCCCCTCCTCTGAACACCTTCCAGTTTGTCAACACCCGTCTTAAATTGTGGCGCCCAGAACCGGACACAGGACTCCAGGTGTGGTCTGACCAAGGCAGAACAGAGCGGATGATGGACTACGCCGAAATGGCAAAACTAACTGGGAAGCTCAGGAATCGAGAAGAAGAGATCTGGGGGGGGGGGGGGGAGAATGGGAAAAGTTTATAATGTATATGCAAGATTATTGTAAGCAGGTTAAAACACTGGTGTGATTTTAAATACACTTGTAATGTGACAGTATGTATGGATAATTTAGAAAGAGAAAAATTGTAGTGATATGCCAGGCATGTCCAAAGTCCGTTTTGGGGGCCTAATCCAGCCCGCCCGCCAGTTTAACCCGCCCCTAAGAAAAGCTCAGCAACTTTGGTCGGCTCTCACACATGTTCACTTCATCAAATCTGGCCCTCTTTGAAAACAGTTAACAGTTTGAAATTAATGAATGCTAGAAGGATGCTGGAATGAAGTTACATGGTTTTAGCAGAAATGTTATAAAGAATTAAGTAAAAGTGGATTGCAATGGGTTAAAGTGTAAAATTTAAGGTCAGATTGGGTTAAGGTAAATTATAGAACAAAAACTGAGAAAGATGGAAAGGATTTGCTGAAATAGCTAATTTTGAATTAGAATACAAAAAAGGGAGGTGCGAGGAGGTCGATGAAACAAGTAAATGAAAGACAAAGATATGGAAATTCTGGATGTGTTTTTAAATGCTTTGGTTTTTAAATGTTTTGGTTTTTTCTTCTTATTGTTGTGCTGTATTGTTTTTTCTATTTTGCTTTTTATTTTTTTGACGTATTGTAATTTCTTATTGTTTTTCTTTTTCTTTTTTTGTAATTGTTAAACTTTTAATAAATATTTTTTTTAAAAAAACAAACAGTTTGGGCACGCCTGTGATATGCAGTTGAAAACAGGATTAATAGGGTCCATGGAAGGGACAAGGGGAAGTCAGGAGATTCAGAGCAATCTTGACATTTGGACTCAGAATTGTTTGTGTGGTATATATATATTTTTGAAAATCAAATAAAAAATTATTTTGAAAAAAAGAAAAAGAGTCAGAACAGAGCAGGACTATATACCACTGAGCCATACGCTGATTGGATTTAAGTTCAAACCATTTTGCTCTCCCGCGAATGCGCCAAACAGCCTTAAGCAAGCCACACACCTCCATTTGCAGCTCCAAGTTTGCTCCTTTCTATATATAGGGTGCCTACATTCTGCATGGACTGGTTGCATAGCAACATGCGCAAATGGCTTGAGATACCTATGAGGTCCATAAATTACCACATAGCATATACAGTGGACCCTCCAGATACGAACTTAATTCGTCCCAGGGGTCCGTCCTTACCCGAAAAGTCCTTATCCAGAGGCGCCGCTTCTGCGCATGCTTGCGGCGCGATAGAGCGCTTCTGCGCATGCGCAAAGTGTGTGGAGTGCTTTTGTGTATGTGCGCGCGGTGAAACCCGGAACTATACACTTCTGGGTTCGCTGCATTCGCAGCCCAAGGTACCACTGTATTCAACACAAAAAACAGCGGCAATTTGTTGTTGACAAAGGACAGCTGGACATTTAAAGGGCCCCATTACCTTCAGGAGCTCAAACCTAAATCTAAATCACACCAATTCTTCTTTGTTAGATATTGTTAGATACGCCACAGAGCGCGTATCCAGCATTAATACGTGAAGGAGCGAAAGGAAGAGCCTCTAAGATGGGATGCTAAAAAAAATGTCTCTCTCTTTCCCAGCCACCCAGCTAGAGATATTCTGCTTGGTTGGGCCAAGCATTCCTGACAGGAGGAAATAATTTCATAGGAGTCCCAGATGGGTTGCATACTGTACACTGATTCATCGACCCGTCCAGAAATGCAGACTCCACCCTCTGCTCTTGGCTCCCAAAGAATTGCAGGAGATGCTGCTCGCTGGCTTGAACGGATGCCGAGTCCATCTGGCATGCAGGAGTGGCTCTTCTGAAGTTACACTGAGAATATGAGTTTCAAGGCTGGCCTAAGAAAGTCGCAACCCCTCCCAAAACGGAAAGACAACTTCCAAAACCAACGGGGCAGTGCGATAGCTCTGCTGCAGACGGAGGAATCAGGATGGAGCTTGGTTTGCATGTTCAAGATAATAATAATAATAATAATAATAATAATAATAATATATTTGTACCAGCCCATCCAGCTGGGTTTCCCCAACCACTCTGGGCGACTCACAACAGAGTATTGAAAACAGAATAAACAGAATAAAACATAAAACTTTAAAAACTTCCCTTCAGATGTCTTCTAAAAGTCAGATAGTTGTTTATGCCTTGACATCTGATGTCACTATTCCTCCGAGTAATTGCAACCCTCATTTGGACGGCTGTTCAGGTAATAATAATAATAATAATAATAATAATAATTATACCCCACCCACTGGTTTCCCCAGCCACTTTGGGCGGGTTCCAGCAAAATATTAAAATACAATAATTCACCAAATATTAAAAGCTTCCCTAAACAGGGCTGCCTTCAGATGTCTTCTAAAAGTCAGATAGTTGTTTATTTCCTTGACATCTGATGGGAGGTTCCACAGGGCGGGTGCCACCACCAAGAAGGCCCTCTGCCTGGTTCCCTGTAACCTCACATCTCGCAGTGAGGGAACCACCAGAAGGCCCTCAGAGCTGGACCTCAGTGTCCAGGGTTGAACGATGGGGGTGGAGATGCTCCTTCAGGACTACTGGGCCAAGGCTGTTTAGGGCTTTCAGGGTCAGCACCAACACTTTGAATTGTGATCAGAAACGTACTGGGATTAGTACCGGACTAGTAGGGTTATCTGAAGACTTGTAATGAGATTTTTTTTTACCTTTCTATATTTATTTAAATTTTGAGGTATTTTGTGATGAGTTTCATTAGAACTGGAAAATATATAAAATGCTGTGATATATAAAATGCTGTGATATAAAGGTTAATTTTGAAAGCCAAGAGGTGGGAGGGAAGGAAGTCGATAGGCTCTGAAGAGCCAAAGTAGTGAAGTGGATAATAATGATGTGATTAAAGGTAAAGGTAAAGGGACCCCTGACCATTAGGTCCAGTTGCGGACGACTCTGGGATTGCGTGCTCATCTCGCTCTATAGGCTGAAGGAGCCAGCGTTTGTCCGCAGACAGTTTTTCCGGGTCATGTGGCCAGCATGACTAAGCCGCTTCTGGCGAACCAGAGCAGCGCACAGAAACGCCGTTTACCTTCCCACCAGAGTGGTACCTATTTATCTACTTGCACTTTGACATGCTTCCGAACTGCTAGGTGGGCAGGAGCAGGGACCGAGCAATGGGAGCTCACCCCATCGCGGGGATTCAAACCACCGACCTTCTGATCAGCAAGTCCTAGGTTCTGTGGTTTAACCCACAGCGCCACCCACGTCCCAATGATGTGATTATATATGCTTAAATGGAAAATGAATTAAAAATTTTTTAAAGGGGGCGGGATAATTTTCTCTTTTGGGGTTTCTGCTTTTCTTCCAAGCGTGCTGACCCTCTCTTTCTCCCGCCTCCGCAGCCTTGACCCATGACCGCCTCCGCCGCGATGTTCTACCGCTCTCCCTCGGCCATGTCGCCGCCGTCCAAAGGCAAATTCAAGCGGCAGAGCCGGATCTTCTCCCAGGTCTTGCACCGGACTCTGAGCTACAAGGACCGCCTCTCTGTGGCCGCGTGCCCGGCGGAGGGCAGCGAGGACCCCTCTGAGCTCTCCACCCAGGCCTCGGCCCCCGGGGTGCTCAAGATCTTCGGAGGCGCCGTCTGCACGGGGGCCCACTACAAGAGCGTCCTGGCCACGGCCAGCTCCAGCGCCCGGGAGCTGGCCAAGGAGGCCCTCGAGCGCTACGGGCTGAGCCAGGTCAGCGCGGGGCGCTACGTCCTCTGCGACGTCGTCGGGAGGTTCGGAGGCCCCGAGAGGCAGTGGCAGATGGAGGGGCTGAGGGTCCTGCAGGACCACGAAAAGCCGCTGCTGATCCAGGAGCTGTGGAAGCCGCGCGAAGGATGCTCCCGGAGGCTGGAGCTCCGGAAGAGGGCGGAGGTGGAAGAGCTGGCCTCCAGGGATAAAGACACCGTCACAGCAGGTGAGGAAGAAGACCCTGGGTTATTGGGGTTATTATTATTAGTAGTATTAGTGGTAGGTTTCTGGGGGTCCGGGATGGAAGAAGAGAAGAAGAAGAGTTTGGATTTGATATCCCGCTTTATCACTACCCGAAGGAGTCTCAAAGCGGCTCACATTCTCCTTTCCCTTCCTCCCCCACAACAAACACTCTGTGAGGTGAGTGAGGCTGAGAGACTTCAGAGAAGTGTGACTGGCCCAAGGTCACCCAGCAGCTGCATGTGGAGGAGCGGGGAATCAAACCCGGTTCACCAGATTACGAGTTCACTGCTCTTAACCACTACACCACACTGGAAAATACGCCCAGGAAGGCCACCACCTTCCCAAGACACCAGGGCGTTTCTCCGGTGCTTACTCTCTGGCTGTAAATCTTCCTCAGTCCAGAGAGACCGGTGATAAGCGACCCTTCTCTCCTGAGGGGAGCACGATCATCTTCTGGCATCTCACTGCAGAAGAAAGAGTCAATCAGTAGCTCTAAAACAACTTTATTAACAGTCTATATGCAAAGAATCCATCAGCACGTCTGTGCTCTCTCAGCACCAGTACAGAACAGCATCACATACAGAAGTGAAACTAAACTCTCCAGCAATACTCCAACAGTCCTGAGACTTCCTGTCTCATGCTCTCAGACACTCACGTGATATGAACAACATAGTGCTACTTGCTGAGGTAGATAAAAATCCTAACCGGAGGTAGGTCAATTCTGTGTCCAGGGCGGCTGCCCTACCAAGCTCCATCTGGTACACCGGCTGAGACCATACCTCCAATATTTCTCCGATGAAAATAGGGACAGCCTATCCAATAATAATAATAATAATAATAATAATAATAATAATAATAATAATAATACAGTGGTACCTCTGGTTGCGAACGGGATCTATTCCAGAGCCCCGTTCGGAACATGAGCAGAATGCAACGTGTGTGGGTCGCAATTCACCGCTTCTGCGCATGCGTGTGACGTCATTTTGAGCGCCTGCACATGCACGAGTGGCGAAACCCGGAAGTAACCCTTTCTGGTACTTCCGGGTCGCCGCGGGACGCAACCTGAAAAGATGTAACCTGAACCGAATGTAACAAGAGGTATGACTGTAATAATAGTTGTTGTTGTTGTTGTTGTTTTATTACAGTGGTACCTTGGTTATCAAACACCTTGGTACTCAAACAACTTGGAAGCTGTTTATGAACTTTCTTCGGAAGCCGAACGTGCTCCGTTTTGAGTATTACGCTTCCAATTTGAGTGCCACGCTTCCATTTTTAGTATAACTCTGAGGTCTGTCTGTTTTTGCTATTTATTTTGCATTTTTGTTTTTGTGGCTCTTTTTGTTTTTGTGACTGTGTGGAACCCAGTCCAGATACTGATTGATTGATTGATTGATTGATTGATTGATTGATTGTGTGACTGCAATACATTGATTGTTGCTTTGGTTTTATGGATCAATGGTCTTGTTAGGTAGTAAAATTCATGTTAAATTGCTGTTTTAGGGGTTGCTTTTAAAAGTCTGGAACACAACATTTCCAGGGAAGCCACAAGTCATATATTTGGGTGCAGCACAGAGCAGGCATTGTTCTGTGTCTCCAGCTCCCAGCATCAGCCAGAAGCCCACACAGTCCACGCTCTTATACACAACCCACCTTGGTCTACTCTTCTCCATCTATGCAGTGACATTTCTATGGGGAAAAACCCACATGCATGGGAAGATGGGCTGGGGAACCAGTTTGGGTTGCCAACACCAGGGAGAACCACGGCCGCCACTGGTCTCTCGCCTGCTTCACATGCATTCTGTCTGCTTTGTTTTCACATTCATCTGCAATTATTTCTGTCTGTACAGAAATAGAAACTTTGGAAGAAAATGCATTGTTTAAATATGTATTACTAAACCTGTTTTCGCACAAAGATGTTTTTTCCAAATGCACTTTGAGGCCTGATTTGAGCAGAGGAGTATCCAAAGCATAATATTTGGCTGGTGGTTGCAATGCTTTCCGATCTGTGAATTAACCCTGGTTTATGCGAATCAGGCCAATTCACAAATCTAGTCCCTTCAACCCTGGACTGGGCTCTCCTCCTTTGCACATTCCACTTTCCCAGGCATTTTCCTCCCGCAACCAGCGACGGCAAAGAGACCCCAGCCGCTTTCTGTACCTGCAGCGAAAACGCCACCTGTTCCTTTTTTCCTGCTAAGATAATGAGTTTTCCTGTGGCCTGCCTGGCCCTTTTAGGTCACGAAGACCATCAACATATTTTCAGGAAACGAATTGGAGCAAACTCCCCGCCTGTTTTTATTGCTTTAGCAGGCAAGTGTAGCTCTGGGGCCAAGTTCTCTGTTGGCAAGCGGAGTTACGTTTCTGCAGCAGCAGTGGGAACGTGGCCTCTGATGAATCTGGCTTCAGAATCGAATGTACGCTGCACAAAAATAAGTGCATTTGCTTTACCTTACACGAACAAGGCCGTTAGACGTCACCCCTCAAAGATAATCAATCTATGGAACCTGAGCTTCTCCAAGGAGTTGGGGGGCAGCCTCTGTGCGTGTTCAGAATGCAGGCATTTGTAATGCCAATGAGTATTTGGGCAAACCTGATTGGAGCAAAAACGGGTCAGTGCTTCTGGCTTGCACTCTTTTCTCCTTGTGCCCTTCATCTTTCCCAACATCAGGGTCTTTTCCAGGGAGTCTTCTCTTCTCATGAGGTGGCCAAAGTATTAGAGCCTCAGCTTCAGGATCTGTCCTTCCAGTGAGCACTCAGGGCTGATTTCCTTCAGAATGGAGAGGTTTGATCTTCTTGCAGTCCATGGGACTCTCAAGAGTCTCCTCCAGCACCATAATTCAAAAGCATCCATTCTTCGGCTATCAGCCTTCTTTATGGTCCAGCTCTCACTTCCATACATCACTACTGGGAAAACCATAGCTTTAACTATACGGATCTCCATGGACAAAGACAACAGGCATATAAAAGTGGGGTTATTACCCTCTACTATTGTTTACGCCGGGTCGCTCAACCATTGCTACCGTGTCCTTTCTTTTAGCAGATCAAGATGACCAGGTGACAGCAAAAACTGCAAGGTTTTTAGTGTGGGAAATTAGGATAAGATCTGCTAGTGGCTGATGCAAATAAAGATTCTGATTCTGTTCTGTTCTAAGAAGCAGCATACAAAATTCTTCTGTGCATAGTTCAACTGTGGAACTCCCTGTTGCAGGAGACCAGGGATGGCCACCAACTTGGAGGGCTTTAAAAGAGGATTGGACAAGTTCATGGAGAAGGAAGAACTATCGATGGCTCCTAGCAAGGATGAGCAATGCTTCCGAATATCTGTTGCTGGAAACCACAGGAGGAGAGAGGGTTCTCGCACTCAGGCCCTTCTTGCTGGTTTCCCGCTGGGGCATTAGGTCGGCCACAGTGAGAACAGGATGCTGAACTGGATGGGCCATGGGCCTGATCCAGTAGGCTTTTCTTATATTCTTTAGCTCTTGAGGGCTAAAGGCAGAGGGCCCTCCCAGTCCTACCTGGTGGCGATTGTACGTTTCCGAGCACAATTCAAAGTGTTGGTGCTGACCTTCAAAGCCCCTAAACGGCCTCAGTCCAGTATCCCTGAAGGAGCGTCTCCACCCGCATCACCCAGCCCGGACCCTGAGATCCAGCGCCGAGGGCCTTCTGGCGGTTCCCTCCCTGCAAGATGTGAGATTACAGAGGGCCTTCTTGGTGGTGTCACCCACCCTGTGGAACACCCTCCCAGCAGATGTCAAGGAAATAAACAACTATCTGACTTTTAGAAGACATCTGAAGGCAGCCCTGTTCAGGGAAGTTTTTAATGACTGGCGTTTTAATGTATTTTTAATCTTTTTTGGAAGCCGCCCCGAGTGGCTGGGGAAACCCATCCAGGTGGGCAGAGTATAAATAATAAAATTATTATTATTATTATAATCAATGACAAATTACAGTGGACGCTCGAGTTGTGAACAGGATCTATGCTGGAAGCACATTCGCAACCTGCAGCGTCCGCAACCCGCAGTGCCGCGTCTGCGCAGGTTGCAATTTGGCGCTTCTGCGCATGCACAAAGCATGATTTAGCACTTCTGCACATGCACAAACGCCGAAACCCGGAAGTAACCCGTTCCGGTACTTCTGGGTTCAGTGCGGTGCACAACCCGAAATTGTGCAAGCTGAAGCATCTGTAACCCAAGGTATGACTGTACAGTGGTACCTCGGGTTAAGTACTTAATTCGTTCCAGAGGTCCATACTTAACCTGAAACTGTTCTTAACCTGAAGCACCACTTTAGCTAATGGGGCCTCCTGCTGCCGCTGCACTGCAGTTCTTAACCTGAAGCACTATTTCTGGCCTAGCGGAGTCTGTAACCTGAAGCGTATGTAGTTACCGAGGTACCACTGTATTATTATTAAACCTGGGACCTCCCCCCCTTCCTTCCATGCTGTACCTCTGAGCTATGGCACGGTGGTAGAGGCAGAAGAGCCGTTTTTGCTTAGGCAACGACACTCCTCTGCTCTTCCTATCCCCCTCTGGGATCAACGTTGCAGCTGCTGGATATACGGAGCAGTTTTGTCAACTGGGCTTCAGTGGGGAGGGAGGATAAGACCTTCTTGCACACGCGAAGGGGATTCCACTCAGGGAAGCTGATCCGTCAACTGAAGGGTGAGAGACTTAAGCTCCTCTTTTCTCCTGGCTGTGGCAGCAGGTGGGTGGAGGACGGCAGAAACGGGCTGGGGGAAGAGCTGATCAGCCGATTAGGATCACGGGTGACTTAGCAAGCAGGACTCCGAAGGCATTTTGCTGGAAGGTTGCAGATAGGGAGCGAGCCCTGATGGGATGGACCTGGAAGGTGGACCTTCGCCTTCCAGAGACAGCCTAGGAATCATTCTTCAGCCTTCGGGAGGTGACAGATAACCCAAAGATTGCAACTTGCCAGAAGCAAATCCCATCCCCAGAATTCTTTGTTTGTTTATTTCTAATTTAA